TGTCTGCATTTGTGATCGAAGAAATGACAAACAACAAGTGCTACTCTCTACACTGCTCAAAACTCACGTTTGAATCGTCAGTGTCAAATCCTTTAAATATGAAAACGTACTTACGTGAGTCAGAACTGCCGGCATTTTAGTCTAACGTAACTCTCCCAGGATCAGTAAACAGTCTTCCATAAAATGTGCTGCACACATCTGAATATTTGGGTTGAACTGTTCTGGAACGTTGTTGTAAATACAACTTAACCACTGATTTCTAGTCGTGTCCTCTTTTGGAAGACCAAACAAAGTCGTTTCGCTTTCACAACGAAGCACACAGCGCCTTCACGACATGGCGGTGGCGGCAACAACAATACTACAGCGAGGATAAAAGTTACGCCTTCTTTCTTTGTGAACATTTGGGCGGCTTTATGCAAATCTTCCCACATAGTGAGGTAGATATGTGGGGGCGTGTTCGAACGAGCCGTTTTAGGGGGGTGTGGCTAACTCTTAACTTTTATAAAGAATATCTCTTTGGATTTGAGACTTTAGTCTTTGCAACTTTACAGATCTTCTTTATGCACCAAGAGCTTGTAACACTCTAAAGAGAAAGGAAAAAATGAAATCGCATCATATGACCCCTTTAACTTACAATCTCAGAGGGACTTCAAGTAGTTCAGCTGACAAACAAGGTTTGTAAATCTCTTCAACAAGCATCTGAACAGAATTTAAAGTGTCCATCTGTCCCAGTAATATAATTTGATTAAAAAAAGAGATTTTAATAGCATTACAATGACGGTATTATCTGGATCTGGATCAGACATCGGCTGCGGCTGGTACTCACCACGCCTCCTGGTGGCTTCCTGCGGTGTTGAGGCTCTTGATGATGGCCAGGCTGTCTGAGGTCATCTTCACAGCGTCGTATCGAACAAGAGCACAGCAGCGAGAAAAACTCCGATCTCCAGCCTGCTGGATGCCCACCGTCAGCTGTTTGGCCACCCGCCCGTTCTGTAGACAAAACAACACAGAAGCATTACATATGAAGAGAAGAAACACATCGCATCGTGCGGTATTAGTGATTCACGATTCACTGGATGAACCACTTCACCAAATCGGACTGGAGCTTTTTGCGGCTCGAGCAGCACAGATCTACAAGTTACTCAATCAAAACTCACACTCCAACTTGAAATGAGCCAAAAAAGGGGCGTATCTGGTCCTATGATGAATGAACTCATTCAGTGCTCCAGTTTGACAATAAAAAATTGTTGACAAATATTTTTGTTATCGAACTGTCATTTGATCACATATGACCTAATGTAAGGACCTGCAATAACAGTGTTTGACCAGTGGGGTGCTGTAGAGCAAGACTGTAATTCAGCTCTCCCGGCAGCCGAACCAGACGCAGCTGAGAGCGGCATTTAGAGGAAGATGTAAATATGAACTTTCTTACCTCTCAATAATTAAATAAACACACAACAAAAATGACAGCGGTGAGAAAACAGCAGTTAAGAAAGTATCTGATCGTAGCGAGCATCTCATTTTGCATGGCAAATATATTTATATGTATTGTTTTAAAAAAATTATAATAATTGTAGTTGTACAATATATATATTCAAAAGCTCTGAATGAGTCTCAGTCAATCAGAACTATTTATTTGTTTTATAAAACAGCATTACTTCAGTGATAATGGACTCACCATATCTCGGTCTTTGTTCAGTCTTTCCTGTAACTCGAGGGCCAACTGATGAAGCCAGTGCTGCACCTGCACAAGAGAGCGAGTTACACCAGAGCACAAGCATCT